TTTTTACAAATCTAGAGGCACAAGTACGGACAAAATGAAATAAACTAGCATATTTTCTTTAAAAAAAGATCAATTTCCAAAAATGTACCAAAGTAGAATAGCAAATTTTTTGTTGAAATTTTGTAACACAGAAAATGAACAAACAAACCAAGAAAAAAGAAAATTGAACACGAGACAAGGTAAAAGTGTGATAGTAAAATAAAAAAAAAAAATAAAAATCGCGAAAAAGATAAAATTAATTTTTCATTTTATTTTTTTTTTTATTTAGTCCTATTTTTTTTTTCTTATTTCGTTTTATCTAATTTTTTTTTTATTTTAATTCTGTTGCCAACAAATAAAAAGTACTGCTGCTATTAAATCGTTTCGAAAAATCATTAAAAAAAAAAAAACAAAATGAAAACTGTTAAGCCGTGCTGTGCTGGTGCTAACCTTGATCGAAAATAATTTGTTTTCTTAACAATTTCATGTCTAAATTTTTTTTTTGTTGTTTCCATTTTCTTTTTTTTTGGCTATATTAGGTGTCATGAAAATTGTTCAAGCGCTGCTATATACTCACACATACACACTTGTGTATTTATTAGCATAGAAAATATAAAAAATGTATCAATTGAATAGACGACATAAAAACAAAAAAAATTCATCGTAGGTTTGGAGAAAAACAAATGTGGGTGTACAGGAGATGATATTTTCCTTTACATTTGAAAATTTGACTTATTTTCCTTGTTTCGTTTTTTCGTATTTTTTGTCATTTCCCCTGTTTTTATGTTTTGTTTGTTTATCTTGTTAAATAAAGTAAAATTTTTTTTTTGCATGCTTTTATTTTAAGTAAACAAATAATTGTAAAATGAAGAATAAAAAAAAGAGAGAAAAAAGGTGAGAGATGGCAAGGAAAAAAAATGACAGTTTTATAAAGTATTTGCGATCGAGAGGTACTAAAAAAAAAGGTAAATAAAATTTTGACATAAATAAAGTATATATATATATATATATATATATGTATATATGCGAGATTTAAGAGATTTAGATCTGGGAAATTAGAGTGATTTCAAAATAAAATTCATTTTAATATTGTAGATTTGTAGATTAATCGAAATCAATATCATTTAAATTATTTAATATTGTGTATATATTGTGTTATATTGAAAATTATACATATATATATATATACATATGCATAGCCATTAACCGTAATGGATGTATTATGTTGATAGAAAATTGAAAAAGAGCAATGTGAAATTTAAGGAAAAACTTTAAAAATTTATTTGATTTTTAGTGAAAAATTACTCGTAAAAAATGTTTTTGATGAAAAAAAAAAAAGAGTTCTGACAATAGATTAATATTATGATGGCAGCTTCAAATCCATTATTTTATATTTAAATCCGAGAATTTTTAACGTTATTAAATGTATAATGGACCTATACAAATGAAATTGCTTTCGTTTTGAGAAGGCTTTAAGTTATTTTTACCCCTGGTTGTAGAAGTAATACTTCATTCCCTTGGAATTGCCTCACACGTTGGTAAATATGTCAATGTACAACTATATTGAGCACCATATAATAGTTCAAATTCATACATCTGTTAATCGAATCGTATGAATGAATTTATTGAGAAGTACCCTTACAATTTGTTTGTATTAAAACAGTTTATTGTAAGATGTTAACATAGTAAAATCAATCGAAGGCTTGAACACCAAAAAATATAATATAGCACCGGTAACTAAAAGGAAGAAAAATTGAACGAAATAGAGATATAAGAATAGATTTAAAAACAATTCTGTTATTTTTTCTATTTTCAGTATTATTGGTAGATTGTACAACGGGAACTACAGTGCACTGCGACCACCTATAAGGATCTATTGTGCGCCCTCATCCGAGTGCGGGGCATTCCCTACAACACACGCTCGAGACCCACCCTCCTGATGAACTCAACCAACTTGTAAGGACAAGAAGACCGTAACTCCGCCACCGTTAGAGTAAAGCCCCCCAGCACCTCCCCCCTCCCACGAGCAAGAGCATCACACTCCCCCAGGAGGTGCACCGAGGTCTCTCCATACTCCCCACAGAATCTGCAACTATCCTCATTTTCCAGGCCCAGCCGACTGAGGTGTCTCTTAAGCCTCCAGTGACCCGTCAAAATGCCGGTGAGGACTCTCACCTGATTCTTGCCCATCACTATAATTTTCTTAAATCGCTTCTGATCATAATCTCCCAGGAGCTCCTTGGCTTGCCGCAGCCCCCGAAGACTTCTCCAGCGCTCCGACCGCCTTCTTTCTGATTCCTTCCTTAATTCCCAACGAATAGTATGTGGTTCGATTCCGCAGAAGGGCTCCGGCCCAAGAAGAGATGTGTTTGCCCCCTTCCTTGCAAGCGTATCAGCGGCCTCATTTCCTTCCAAGCACACATGGTCCGCCACCCAACCGCATCTGCTTAACTCATTGAGCTTCTCAAGACAGCCCCATACTGCCGCGGAAGATACTGAAAACGAGTTCAGCGCTCCGATCGCAGCCCGGCTATCCGACATAATCATTATCTCCTGTCCCCGATACCCCCTTTCCAAGCTGAACCGCACGCACATTTCAATGGCGTGCAACTCAGCCCGAAACACACTCGGAAAAGTTCCCATAGGTTCGGAGAATTCGGTTCTTGACCCAAATACCTCCGCACCCGTCCCAATACTGGTCTTTGGCCCATCTGCGTACCATCTAATAACGTGTGCTTCCACTGAGCGACCTGAAAAGTCACGCTCCCAGTCCCTTCTGTTACTCAGCAACGAGGCAAAATTTTTCTCGAAGCTGTACCTCCTTACCATGTCATCCCGAGGCATCGATAAGAGCGGAACCTCCCCGACAAGACGATCTCGATCTCTCACACCGATTATTCCGGCTCCATTTCTCCACAACCTAAAAATGGCAGCGTTCGCTGCCATCTCCACAACGAGGTGAAAAGGGGTTAGTCCCAGTATTATTGGTATTTCTCTTCTCTCATTATTTTCTTTCAGTAAATTTCAGATTATTTGCAACGAGAAATGAAATGCAGAGAAAATATCTTGCTTTCACGGATGGCGATGAATATGGATACTTAATTTTTTCGTGTCAGTATCAGAAAAAATTCCAGAACTTGAGATATTACTCAAATTTTCATTCAAGCGCTGGTTTAAGACAAAAACTGATTGACTCAAAACATTATACTCGAAAACTAAATCGGATTTCTAGAAACCAATTTTTAGTTGAATTAGTTCTTTCATAGTCTCTTCGAAATTAAATAAAGAAACCCATTTTATAGTGTTTATTTGAATCAATTAACAAGTGAAATAACAGACGGTCATAATAATACTACGCTAAAAAATCTGATTTTCAACTGAAACTGGGGAAAAAACTATAATAATATGAAAATATAACCCCAAAATTTTATAAAAAGAAAAAATATTGTTATAATATTGTCAAGGATAATGATAGAGTTGCGAAGTAAGCAGAAAATTTCTTTGTTATTTTAAACAATTATTGTATAACTACGATGAAGAAAATATTATAGAGTAAAAATTTTATGGTGAAAATCTTGTGGTTTTCATTATTAAGAAATTGAATTTAATGTTTATAAGATTTCATACATTTTATTATGAAATGAGAAGAAAGGGGGAAAAAACACAACTTTTCCGTTTTTTTTTTATCTTAAAAATTAAATTAATTAAAGAGAGACTTGATAATGAAGTTGAAATCTTATTTTAAATATTCGTACACATAGGTATGTGCATATTATTAAATGAATTTATATTTACTTGAAAACTAAATGACATTTAACAAATAAATGAGCTGTTTAACACATAAATAATTTTATTAAATTTTAATTGGGATGGTAAGAGAGAATAAGTGTCTGCGAATATGCAAAAATTGATTTGATGACAATGTTGTTAACTTTGAAAGCACGCCTCAGATTTAGCAATAAAATTAAAATTAGCAGTTACAGTTTTATTATACAAATTAGAAATAAGAATTTTTGACAAATTAATGAAAGATAATTTAAATATATTTCTTTAATTTAGAAAAATTTTATTTATTACACATTTATTTTCTTAAATAAAACAAAATTTTTTCGCACGGTTTAAACACTACCATCTATAAATTAATGTACTAATGATGAATAACTTCTTCACCGCAACAGTAAAAATGTGTCGAAACTAAATACCGTCACAGTAAATGTGTCGACAGTAAATATCTCGACAGTAAATTATTTAACAACAAATGTCTCGAAAGTAAATGCCTTAACAGTAAATATCTTAACAACAGATACCATGACAGCAGATACCTTGACATTAAACGTCTAAACAGTAAATACATTGACAGCAAATGTCCTGAGAGTAAAATATCTCGGCAGTAAATGACAACATTTTTTATTGCCACCTTTTTTTTTGATTTTTCGAGCAATGAAATTTTGTAAGCTATGTTGGAACTACTCAATTATTAACTTTAATATATCAAAAGAGTACCTTCTCAAAAAGTTATTATAATCGAGATTTTATAGTATTTGTATAAATAATAAAACCCGCATTTAGATTTAACCAATTAATTTCAGAATTCTGGAAATTAAAGGAAAATTTTGTATTTGAATCAAATATACAATTGATAACCTGCCATAAATGAGCAACAAAAAATAACCACCTTTGATATTATAATTTTTTTTTTTCATTTTCTTTTTATTAGATATTTGGCATTAAAATGTCAAAATGATAGATAAATTTTAATCAAAAGCAATAACCTACAATTTTATGTAATCAATATAGTCCCATCAATTTCAGTTTTTCTATATGACAATGATTGTAATAGTACAATGAGATCACAAACTAACAATAATGCTGTGTATAAAATATTCATTTAAATTCTAATGAAAATACGATTTGTTTTTATATAGTAGATTATAATAACATGATTCAGTTTTGAAAAAGAAAGATTAAAAAATAATATTAATATGGTTACAACTGAGCGAAAATGAAAATTTATAACTTACCTAACTGCAATTCCCAGAGCAACACTTGCAACTATTATAATCAATAATAAAACAAAAGCAATTCCAATTAATATCCAACAAAATGTACCACAACGAACTAAAATATCTTTTGGATTTAAATTATCCCAGTCCCATGTTTGCGGATGTATCGGATATGAAACATATAAATCAAATTTATTTTGTTCCAAAATTAAAAATGGTCTCCACATTAAATTACATTCACTAGTGAATTTTTCTTTTCTTATTGTTTTATTATTAGATTTTATCACATTATTCCTGTATATTTCATTATAATTTTCAACGTTACCATCAATAATAGAACCATTAATTTCACTATTATTTATCATAAAATTTAAATTTTTAATATCAATATCATTATTATAATTTTGATGTGATTTTTTAATATTATTATCACTATTGCTGTTATTATCATTATTATTATTATTATTAATATTATAATAATTATTAACTGAACTAGTATTATTATTGATATCGATATTTAATCGAATATAATCATCATCAATTTCATCATTAATATTAATACATCTTTCATTTATATCTAAAACAATGAAATTAAATTTAACTATTTGATTTGCTGCATTATTAATGTTACTGTTGTCATCATTAGCTTGATATCCTTTATTATTACTATTATAATCATTATTATCAATATCATCAACATTATTATTCTTCTTCTTATTATTATTGTTATTATTATTATTATTAAAATCATCAATTTTATTCAAGATTGTCATATTGTCATCACTATTACTATCAATATCAGTCGAATATTTATTAATAATATTAGACTTATTATCTTTTTTGTGTTTATGATTATTATTATTTTTATTAGTGTCCATTGGTAATGTAGTTATTAAATTTGTTGCTATAAAATCATATAAATGAAAAAAATCAATTAAATCTTTAAGTATTCTAATATTACTATTCCATTTAATTAAATCTGTCTGAGAATTTTTACAAATCTTCTTTACGATTGTTTCGATTTCATTTAAATTTCGATTCTCGAAATTAAATTTATTTTGATCATCCACATTATTTTCATCTTCTTTTTCTACTTTCTCTTTATTGTTATTCCGGTGGGATGTATTTGATGATGATAATGATGACATTGATATTGATTTTGATGATGGTAATTGTGATGATGTTACTAATAAATTATCATTTTTATTATTTTCTGTTAGAACAGATGATGCTCTCCATTTTAATTGTATGAACTTTGAATTAGTTGTTGTACAATCTTTGTTAGCGTTTTCAATTAAACTTGTTAAATTTTCTGATTTACATAATTCGAGTAATTCAACGGGTGTAAAAGGATTCTTTTCATTAAATTCTGAGAAAAATGATTTTTTTCTTGATAATAATGTAGTTGATGATGATGATGGTAATGGCGTTGATGATGATGATGATGATGAAAAATATGATAAATTTTGAAAATTTTTTGATTGCTCTTCATTTTGCAACAGTCTTTTTGTATTTTCTTCTAATTTTTGTAAATTTTGGCACTTAAATGTTGTAAAATCTGGTATTAATGTAGCATCTTTTATACCATCATATTTTCCTTTAATATCATTTTTAATTCTATCACCATTTTTTATTTCATTATTTTTTGTTGTATGATATAAATTTTTTACTGATTTCATTTCATCTTCAAATGCTACATCCAAAAATAAACGATATTTTTCACTTAAAATTGTTAAAATAAAAATATTTGATAAAAATTTTGAATTTGGTTTCATTTTCATTAAATTTTTATAAAATAATATTTTTGAATTAAATGCTGTTGCATAAATATCAATTAATAGAATATTTGTATGTATTGTTTTTTCTAACATCTTTAATATTTCAATAACATCGGGATCATTTAATGGTGAAGTAACAATTATGACTGAAATGAAAAAAAGGAACAGGAAAATTAATTTAATAGTAAGAAAATTTTAAAAATTTTTAAAATTTTAGACTTTTAAATTAATTAAATAAAAATTCTTTTAAAACTAATATTGTCCAAGAAACCAAAATACAGAGTTACAACATGTCGAACTTCGGATAAATTTCGACTAATATTGCTCAAATTTCAGTTTAGAAAAAATTCATATTACAGGTACAAGGACTTAAATTAAATTTTGTTATACAGCAATTTTAATATGTGTGGGTGGTATATGTGAATAAAATTATTTTTTGAACGCAAATAATTATGCAACATGTGTCAGAATATAAGATTTGGGAATTTTTTTTCAAAAAAAAAATTTCATTAAATTTTCTCGTTTTTTTATACGCGATATGCAACTTGATTTTTTAAATACAAAATATAATTTATTAAAACAAAATTATTCTATATCCTTATACCAGTTTCTTTGTTCATTCTAATTCATATAAATTTAAAGGTACTTGAAATAAACCCAGAGAAAATCAAGTTTAATTTAATTTTAAGTCGATTAAGTAAATTCTTACTTTACAAAAAAAAAAAAATTACTTGACCTTGTTAATATTATTTCTTATTTCAGTATTTTATTTAATTTTATACTGAGCACGTTAATTTATAATGTTGATATACACACAACGCACACATCTTTAAAAATTAAATCCTAAAATTTTTTTAACTTTGACAAATCATTGCATTTAAATTGTAGTCATGTTGGCAAATTATTACTTTCCTCTCTTTTTCCATATTCTTAACATTTAGAAAAATGAAATATTTTGTGTTTCGTTTTATTTTCTCTCCTCTCCTCATCTGTCACTCCCTCTCTCTTGTCTTGAAGAGAAATAGTATGTAAAAGGAAATATGAAATGACAATTATTTATATCCTTAATTTTTATTTAAATAAATTATTTGAATTCCTATGATAGTGGGAAAACATGAAAAATGCAAACAAGGATATTTCATCAAATTACCACTCATTAATATTAGTTTAAAAATTTTAAATATAGCCATATTGTATATAGAATACTACGAATGCAAGTGTGTATGTGAACAGAATATTTGGTTTAGCTTTAAGCTCTTTTAATTTATAATAATAAATTTCATTTTATTTAATTTTGTTTTATGTTCATTAGAGTTTATTTTTAGGGTAAATTTAGTTAAATTTTAAACAGATAAAATATTTAATTATGGTTACACTTGTGTGTTTATGGTTGGTTTTTGCAAAAAAAAAACTAAATATTTTTTTAAAGATTCATTGGAAAATTTATTAATTGACGGCCAAAAGATGAGAATTTGATCAAATAATTTTATTTTTAAAGAATTCAACAGTATAAAAATACAGAATTTCATAATTACGATTTAAATAGAAAAAGAGAACATATTGAGTCGCCCCTAAATATATGCAATTTTTATTGATTGTTAATTTTTTATTGATATAGCTACATATATGAAATTTATAGCTATAAAAATCTTTTATCTTTATTACTAACATAATGTTTTACTAATATAAAATATATTTATTTTTATTATAATTAATTATGTTATAAAATTTTATAGATTTTTGATCTCGGAATTGTAGACAAGATAAAATTTATTGATTTGGAATGCTAGAGTAACAAGGGCTGTATCAGAATTAAGGCGTTATGTGTAATTTTAAACAATATTCTTCAAAAATTTATAATAATTTTTAACATTTTACATTTTAAAATTGCAATTATAACAATGAAATTTCAAATTTTATCCGACAAGATTTGATAAAACTGAAAAGACAAGGTGGTTGATTTATAGTTCGGAATGGGCAATTTTTTAAAAGTTTTTCATTTTTTAAAATCAATTAGCTAAATGTAAAATATTAAAATTATATTGTAAGAAATTTTGGACGCGAAGAAAGTTTACGACCCCAGACATTTATTTCTTTTGTTTTAGTTGGCTTTTTCGTTGGTTAATACGCGCACTACCCGTTTTCATTGACATTGACTTATATTGCTTCATCGAAATTTCTGTAGTTTTAGAGTATATGCCATATCTTTTATAGCCTTTTGCAAGAGTTTGATTCGTATATCATGGTTAAAAGTGAATTATTAAATGTTAAATGAAATAACATGAAAAATTTCTACTTATCACCCGGTTTTATTCGTATACAAAAAATAACATTGTTTGGAGCGACTTGAAAATGAGCCTTAAATTATTAAAAATTTCCATAAATAATTTCTTATTATACGTAATTGTTATTTTATGATTGAAATAATGAACAAGGCTTTAATAGTCCTATACAAAGCTACCTAAATAAATTATAAAAATCTTGACAAGCACTTCAAAGCCCCTGATTTATTAAGGTATAAAAATCTTTTTTCCTCCGTTCTTTTGGTTTTTTGCTTTTGTAATTGTTTGCTAGAATTGTTATTTTTAATTTGTTTTTACTATTATTTTTCTTTTTGTAATTTTAATATAAACATGTAGAAAATATTTTATGAAAAAAAAAACCTTAATTTAAATTCCAAAAAACAAAAAAAAATTTCATTATATTTTATTTGCGTTTATTGTTATTGTAAAGAACAAGTTGAATAATTGTGGGTACTAAAAGCATATATTAAGTCCTCATATTAAGTCCTCCGTTTTTTACATTTCCCAAAATTATATTCTAGTATAATATTCATCAAAAAGTTCAAGCCGTTTCCTTTTTTAAAATTTCATTTTTAAAAGAAAAAAATTCTAGGCACTCAAAATTTTTATACCCGCACGAACGTATGTTCGAACGGTATACTAAATTTGTCTAACCGTTTGTAATGCTAAGAAATAATGGTCTTAGATATAGATTCAAGTGTATGTTTTTGATGAGCGTCGAATTCTGAGTTGATTTAGCTTTGTCTGTCCGTCCGTCCGTCCGTCCCAGCGATAACTTTAGCGATGATTTATTGCAGTCAGTGCCAGAACCCTATTCAAATTGGACATGATCGGGGTATCGGTTCGGGTGATTTATTTGCCTATATCTCAGAAACTATAAAAGCCATGGTATTGAAATTTCACACAAACGAATATATTAGTAGGACCGATGTGCTTGATAAAATTCCTTGAAATTGCTTGACGCTTTCTGGTAGCTGCCATACAACTTCAATTGTAGTTTGGCACACACAGTATTTTGAAAAACACAGTGCTGAAATTTTGCATAAATTAATATGGTAATACGGCAACTTAAAGTCATAATCTGTCCATAGTCAGTTATGGCATAATTATTCGCACGTAGAATAACAAATTCGTACGGATATCACAGAGTTGACAAGCTCAACTCTATTTTTGCTAGTTTTTTTCTAAATAAAGAATATGAAATTATTATGGTGCTGTTTTGTTCATTTTTATTACTGTATTTTATGAGATTTCTTGACTTTTTCAATTTAATGTTTTAATAAAATTATTTATAAATGTGTGTGTGTTTTTGTATAAGTGTATAGAACGCAATAATTTTTATTATCTTAAAAATTTTTAATAACAAGTGTGTACATAAGAAGTGAAGTGAAAGTGTGAGAGAGAAAATTTCATAAAAGCTATGATTAATTCGTAACTAATGATATTACAAAAATAATCCTTTCTAATGGTGTATAAGTACATGATATAAGGATATATATTAAATTTCTTGAGATTTGAGTGTGCATAAGTATAATGTACTTTTATTATGACCAGACATAGAGTATATAAATTTCATATCCTCTACAATCATCTGTTCATCAAATTTATATTTTATTGACAAATTGTTGATTTTTTTCGTTTTTTGATTCCTATTGTGATTCTTATATTTTAGGTATTTTCAAAATCTTCACATTCTGGAATTCTATTGGATCGTTACTCACTGTTTAAAAATTTTTATTTAAAAACAAATTAATAAAATGTATAATAAATGGAGGGGGAGGACAGATAAACTAGTTTTCGAGCTACAGCCTGTTGGAAAGAAGAAAGGTTTTAGTCTTTCCTGCATATAAATAAATTTCCGAAACGTATGACTTATTACTGAGATTTCGGTCTTGCAATCAATTAGATATGAGCCAGAGTTTTTAAAATAAAGCTCTTCAAAGTCAGAATTTTTTTTTTTGAGATTTTTTTAAAAATATTTAAAATTTCTCGAAAATTTTATTTTATTTTTTTCTATGCGCTACAATGAGAGCTTAGAGTCAACCGACATAACATTTTCTTCTGTCCCTCAAAGTTTTTCCAGTAAAAGGAGGTAGACGTATTCAAAACTTCCCCGATTTCTTGCTAGAAATTAATCAAAGAATCATTCCTGCAATTATTTGTCACCTTATGCGAAGCAATATGTATAATTTCTCGCTCTTAAACCATGTACCTTATGTATACTTCCTTCTATAACTTTTCCTAATTGTTTTCTAAATTTCATTTCACGTTTCCTTGGAGTTAATCAGTGCTTTTTGATTCATATTAAAATTTTTCTAACTAAAATTTTTTAAAATCCCGATTTTACTCTGAAATTTTTTCCAGAAAACCAAATAAAAACATAAAAAAATTTGCATTCTGATTTCAAATTGTTGAAATTTTTTTAAGAACTTGATTAAAAAATAATTTGATATACATTTGGATTTTGCATGAATTCGAATTTACATTTCATTTTTCTTAATGCATCGTACGAAATGGTTGAATAATTGAATCAAAAAAAAAAAATTGCTCTCGAAAATGAAATCAAAAATTAATTAAATTAAAAAATTAATTTTTTTTTTTTAATCAAATTATCTATGGTGTAAATGAAGAAATTGATAATTAAAAGTTCTTGAGAATTAAATTTTGTGGAAATTTTTTATACTTTTCATAATCGGTTTCCTTTATTTTATTCTATTTGGTAGAATTAATTATCTATAGAGATTTTATGGAACTACTTATTACCTCAAATATCTTTTGTATTAAATGGTTCAACCATTTCAGCTTTAAATCACCAAATTGTTAAAAAACTTCTGTTTAAAAAT